TAACCTGAGCAGGAGGTGTTACCTATTAAGCAGCTAGCACAATCACAGGAGTTGGTTTTCACCCAATTGTTTAATTATCGTTACTGTTTACTCTCAATTAGCGAAAAATGAGGATCTGAAGGAATAGAAAATAGGACGGTAGCAGGTACATTTATTTAGAGGGAGAAAAGCAGAAAAAAAAAAAAGAAGCAATGAAATGCATGTTTGGAGAGTTATATTTTGAAGACAGTATTTAAATAGAATCAAACTCAGTATAAAAGGTACTTTTACGTTCTGAACCAATCATTAAGGCTAAATTTAAGCATCAATTTTCTTTCACTTATTGAATTAAAAGAGATATTTGAATCATAGTACGTCTGTAAAACAAATGCTGATGGGGGTGATTCAGAAGAGGGAGAAGCCAGAAATCATCGGTAAGAAGCCAGAAAGTATAATTTTCAGGAAAAGTTCTCTAGTAAGAGGATGGGATGTGGTTTGGTCTTTGGTAGGAACATGAACAGACCAACCACTCTCAAAGAAAGGAAAGCAAAATATGTGATTTCAAATGCAATATGCTGACTGACATATCTGGTGTGGAAGCATCAGGAAAATTTCTCTTTTGATTGCTTTAATTTTCTCAGTGAAATGAAAAATCAGGCAATTACCTGAGAAAGGAAGGGGAAGTATTGGAGGTTTAAAGAGAGAAGGAAAAGTATAAAATTCTGAAGGGTGTAGATGCCAAATAAGACCAAAACAGTCTTGTAAGGGATTAGGAGAAGGTTTTGCTTTTCCCAGCTCAGGATTTACATGCTACACTGGCCTGAAGCTGCTAATAGCCATCTTTCCAAACTTGCAGAAAAGTGTGACAGAAAACAAACCAGGACTGAAAAAAGCAGCCCAGATACGAAATGAGAAATGTAAAATTCTCATATTACTTTTCAAGGATATGGAATCAGCCAGGCTTGAACACAGAACTCCCCTGAACTTTTCTGTTACATGGGTGAACACATTCTTTTTTTGACTATTTGTTTGAGGTTTTTTGTTTTTGTTTTGTTTTTTGTCACTTGCAATCAAAAGAGTACTTAATACATCAGATCACTAAGCAGTAATTTATGAGGTTTTAAAGGATTAATTCTTAAAATGACCAGAAAAGTATATTAGAACGATATGCTAGCAACTTGGTTATTAGGATGGGTTTTGGGGTCAGAAAACTGAATTTGAATTCTGGCTGTTCTACTTAATGAGGTGGGTAATATTTGGATTTACTTAGTCACTCTGTTTTTGCATTTTCATCTGTAAACTGGATATAATGATCATAAGAGCTACCATGTATTAAGTCCCATGCATTATACCAATATTTTATATACATTATCTTAATCACATCTTCCATTCACCACTGAAACAGATATTGTCTCAGTTTTACACATGAGGAGAGTGAGATTTAGTGAGGTTAATAATCAGCCTAACATTCCACAACTAGTCAGATGGTATTGAACTCATCGTTATTTTATATCAAACTTAGAGTGACTGTTAAGTCTCAGTTCACTTGGACGATTTTAGTCTATGCCTGTTGTACCTGCATTCCATCTGATTAGCACACTCTTTCACTTGCAAAAAGTCTTAGATTGGGCAGCAAATTGTATGATCACTGTTGCAGTGACCAAGTTGACTTGAAGATTAGCTTGCTGGAAGTTTATTGGGATATGCTCTCTGGATCTCTACTAAAGGTGTGAGGAAAGGAAGCAAGATTGGGCAGAGGGAGGAACAAAAGATTCAGCCAACCCCACAAGGAGCTCTGAAGTTGGAATGGCCCTTTGGAGTTGTTACACTTGGTGCAAAGAGGAGGTCTGGGCCATTATGCTACTGCATCAACCCACTCATTGCACTGGGTCTGGCCCCAAGGTGGGAAGTTGTCTTGGACAAGATAGTGTTCTTTACTAGAGGACAATTTCTTGAGAAAGCTGACAGCTGAGAGATTTTCTGCTGGGCAGCATTCCCAGTAGTTGGAGAAATAAGTCCTTCACACATCTACTACGGCTGTAAACATCCGTTATGAATGAAGCACTGCCTCCAGACAAGAGTTTCTTTATACCGTTGCTCTGAGGATTAATGAAAGTATACCTACATATCTTTAAAAGTATGTGGCATATATTAATATATGCCTGCATATATCTATATGCATATATTCAATAAATGGCAGCATTTTTATTATTTTATATATCATATAGTACATATTAAAATATAGTATATGTGGTATATAATATAGTATAAAGTTATCACTTCATAACAGAGAATCTGAAATAACAGAAAAATAAGATTTACAAAAATTTTAGAAATTTGTTTAGCTTGAGGGATTGCCAAGAGTAGCCCAGCACAGTGTTCTGTCTATAAATTTTCACAAAAAGCTGAAATCTGATGAGGGCCACATGAGCAGAAAGAATCCAGGTATGGGTAAGTTAAGGGAACGCCATATAGTAAAGGAGTGTGGGTGAGTGGTAGGGATGTATGGCTATTAAATGTGCTATTGAAATCCACTGGTTCTCATACTCAAAATCTTTTGACACCCTCAATCTCTTTAAAGACAAAAGGAGGAAAATGTTTTTCCCTAACAAATTGTGGTCTTGTTTAAGAACAAAGTCTAAAATTGAGGTAAACAGGAAGAAGATCTGTCTGGGAACCCCATCCAACAACTTTACACTGACCATGTCTGCATTCTTACTGCTATATTGTTAATCTACTCCCAAAATTGTATGGGGATTACCAGGGTCTTAAACTAAGTATATTAGCAGTAAAATTTAGGGTTCCTATTAAGTTAATCTCACATGATTTCAAAAAAGCCATCCTATCCCTCCAGGTTTGGGGACCTTTAGAACATGCACACCTGTAACCAAGCAGGACCCTATGGGGCCTTCCAGGGATAGGCTCTTCTCCCATATCCTCTCAGTTAGTTCCTCTCTGAAGTACCTATATAACAGTATTTGATGCACATTTCCTGAGTTGTTTTACAGATGTGAAAGCCCCCCACCAAATGGAAGATGTTATGACCATGAACACACAGCCCCAGGCCTCCTGGAGCCTAAGGACTGAGAATGTTAACCCCTATGACACCACCCTGTTACTTCACCATCAGCCAGTCAGAGAATTGTTCATGAGCTGATCACATACCCTGCAACCCCCATCCCTCACCTGGCTTTTAAAAATGCTTTGCTGAAACCCTTCAGGGAGCTCGAGGTTTCTTAGATCATAGCCACCCATCTCCTCGCATGGCCCTGCAGTGAACCTTTGTCTGCTCCAAACTCTGATGTTTCAGTTTGTTTGGTCTCATTGCGTGTTGGGCACATGAACTTGCACTAACACACTCGGAGCTAGATATTTGGAATTTCCATGCAAAAATATTTAATACTTTCTCTAGTCAGCTATATTAGGTACAAAATGTCTGCATGGATTAGCATCCTAGGCGATGCATCAACTCTTAGTTGACTCTCCCTTGTTCTAGGTGTGGCTGCCACTGCCATTGTATCTTGCACTTTTCTATGTGGACCAAGACCATCAAATGAGTTTTTAGAACATAGGTAACTCTTACAAGTTTGAAAGATTTAATTGAAGTTAGTTCATATACTATATGGGGAAGTTTGAGAGAAATTTAATATTCAATTAGCAAGTAATTTCAATACTATTTCATTTTTTATTACTTTAACTTGCATTAATTTTGTCTCAATTTTAATCCCTGATTCTCCAAATTTTTCAGTGGTTTCTTTGGATAATAGGTATATTTTGGAATGTACACATGAGTTTTCAAAAGGAAAATAAAATGAAATATGATATTCTTCTTTGAAGTACATGTAAGTCAAATAAAATCAATATGAATTTCCATGTTAGTCCAGATTAATTGGAAAAAGACAAGATATTTTCAAACTTACTTTAAACATAGAGTAGATTTTCCTCTCAGGATAGCTTTTCATGATTTTTGTCCCCGGGAGAGAATGTGCCATGCTATGATTAAACCTCGTGAACCCTTGACCCTGGTACATATAAAGACAGCAAGAAGCAGGTCCCGGTTATTAAAGAAATCTTGACATAGACACATTCTTTCTTTTATAGTAAGAAACAAAAAAGGTTTTCTTTACTCTGAGGAGAGACTATTAAAGCTGAATATTACAATGTTCTCTAAGGGGGAGAAAAGTTCATTTTCACACTCCAAGGGACGTGCATGTTTCACTCTATAATTTTTTCACATAAATTACACTACATTGAGACTATTATTTGTGATGTTATAAAGAACAATAAAAAGTAAAAGCAGAATAAAACTATTAAGGATACGGACTGTTAAGTATTCTTATAAAAGGAAGAATCAGAAAAATTCCTGTTAGACTAGCTTCCAAATCTTACTGTTTAAATTATTATATGTAGGTGCCATGTAAAGTTATAAAGGGTAAAAATCAGGAAATTTTTCTGTTACAAATTATTCAAGCATTTATCATGTGTGGAAATAATTTAATTCACTGCAAATGACATGGACTAAAATGCAGACTACATTTACTATCAATCTTTATTTGAGGAAGATGAATTTTGTGATGCTATAAAATCATTATTTTATATATGATTTTGTGTAAATATATGTCATTTAAGAATTAAATATATGTCATTTAAGAATGTTTCTTCCTTATTTCCTGTTGTAGTTTTATTTCCAAAGATATGGAAAACCCATACAAATAAGAAATGTTGTATTGATTTTTCTGTAACACAACTGTATAGTGACATGTTTGATTTGTTATTTATAGTGATTTATAATGATATTAGTCTTTTTCATGACTTGTGATGATATCACAAAATATTTGTTTGCTTGCCTATATTTTGCTTTTCAGACAGCCTTGGAAAGAAGGAAAGGAAGAAAAAAGAAGTGGAAGGAAGGAAAGAAGGAAGGAAAGACGAAGGAAGGAAGGAAGGAAGGAAGAAAAACATTAACATTTTGAACAGGTTCAGCTATTACTGAAACTGATAATTTCTAATCTTAAATTGGGGCAAATGGCTAGATTGCAGAGTGATGCCATCATTGGGCATTATGAATGCAAGACTGAACAATTAACAGCCACCCCTCAGACAGAGGACCAGGTGCTGGGTCGACTCTTTCTGGATGTTGTAATCAGAAAGAGTGCGGCCATCTTCCATCTGTTTGCCTGCAAAGAGGAGCCTCTGCTGGTCAGGGGGATGCCTTCTTTATCCTGGATCTTGGACTGCACATTCTCAGGCTCCCTGGGCTCCACCTCCAAGGTGATGGTCTTGCAGGTCAGGGTCTTCACGAAGATCTGCATACCATCCGTCAGACACAGGGAAAGAAAGAAAGGGAAAAAGAAAGAAAAAAAGAAAGAGAAAGAAGGAAAAAAGGAAAGAGGAAAGAAGGAAGAAAAGAAGAGAGAGATGGAGTAAATTATTAGACAGTAAAAATACTGACATTTATGTGATTTTGCCAGTTATAGGTGGCAATTATAAAAATACCAATTTCTCTCAAAATCAGTCCAAAACTACTGAGTAGCATCAAACAAGAATCAGACAAAGGGGCAAACAGCTCTTGAGAGATCCTGCTTTCTTGTACATATACACAATATTTAAAAATAAACAGGTCAGGGCTTCCCTGGTGGCACAGTGGTTGAGAGTCCGCCTGCCGATGCAGGGGCCACGGGTTCGTGCCCTGGTCCGGGAGGATCCCACATGCCGCGGAGCGGCTGGGCCCGTGAGCCATGGCCGCTGAGCCTGCGCGTCCGGAGCCTGTGCTCTGCAACGGGAGAGGACACGACAGTGAGAGGCCCGCATACCAAAAAAATAAATAAATAAATAAAATAAATAAATAAACAGGTTAACAAAAATCTACAAGGGAAATTGTATTCTTTTCCGAAGCACACTTTATCCTAGCATACTAGCTATCCTTGACTTCATGTTTCAGAAGTGCTAGTGCCCTGTTATTCAAGGGAATGAATTTGCAGATGACAAAGTAAGAACTGAATGAATACGTTGGCATCCCAAAGTAGTTAGGACAATTTTCAACTATTTAACATAATTTGCTTTTTTGAAATTCATGTTCCTTCTTAACACCCAAAAGCAAAAAGACCTTTGGATTCTGCATTTGATTTAATTAGTCTCAAGCTGCTGTAAAGGTCATATTTTAGTCTCTCAGTCACATTAAAATGGAAGTAAGTAAAATCATAGGACCCACAAGCAGACAAGAATCTAATGTACTGATATAAAATGATCTTTGTTATTACAAATAAAAAAAAAAGTAGTTACTCATCTTCTTAGAGAGTCACAAGAATGACCCTTTATATTAAATCATTACACAAAATATCAGTCAACAATATTTTTTGTTATTTTATGCAAGTTTGATCTAGCTCTATTTTGCTGAATTTGCATTATATTTCTTCTTTCACTTCCCTCACTAAATGAAAAGAAAATAAATCATTTCACTATTGAAGCATACACAGAGAAAAATAAACTCGCCTCTTTACTAACCTAGCCATTGCAAAGTCACCAGTTGCTGGATATTTGATTTCTATAACATATCTAAAGTGTTTTTTTTTTTTTTTTTCTTTTTTTCCAACAAAGAAAACCTTTTGGAACTGAGATGTGGTACACTGGAACTAATCTGGGATTACATTTGCTGTTTCTGTAAAAGTATTTTATATTTGACATTCCAATAAACATTTTTGTTTCTGCTTCAAGGTGACTTAATCATTTGAGGCCTTTAGCCTTCATAAGAAATGAAGGCATGCCAGCATTTCTGTAATTTTCCGGAGTCCATTTTTGTCACATGCCTGTATTTATTCTTATTATACTCACTAGCTCAGATGATTACCTGGGAGATGAGGTGAATACCTGGGAGAAAGAGAAAATTAATTCAAAACATAATAAAAGTAAAGGAACTAATGAAAACACAAAACTATGTACCATACTAGGAATCCTGTTCCATTATAAAGTTTACTTGTTCCTTTTGGTATGTATGAGTGTTAACATTTTCCAGCAACTGGATGAGAGTGTCTCTTTTATTAGTACTTCTATCCTTTGCATTAGGAAAAAAATATTTTCTCCAAGAAATATTTGGTTCTAGAAATCTGTTTTGATATGTATTATAATACATAACACAAAAATAAAATAATTTACATTCTTATTAAAAGTTTCAGCCTCATTTCTTCACATATAGACACAAATATTAAAATGATAGGGTTATATTTCAAGTTCTTTTTAGTCTCAGAGAAGGTTAAATAAATTATATAAAATATTGTGAAAGAATCATTGCTCATTATAAAAACTATATAAAAATGTGTTATCAAGCCACAACAGCAGTTCTTTCTCTATTCCTTTTTTCATTTGAAACCTATATGTACAAACTATTACAATACCCCTTGTGGAGTCCAATTAAAGTTCTGCTCCATTACAGACCAGAATCCTTTCACTATTAAGAGATCAAAAGCATTTGTCTCCTTGTGGCAAATGTAAATTTGATTACCTAATGCTAAAGAAGATTTGCTGGCAAAGGAAATGGATATGTTGGCAAAAACCATAAGAAGACTCTTCTCTTGACAGTGTGATTTGCAAAGCTACTTTTCCATTACCTTTTTCTTTATAATGTTACCAGTAACTTTTCAGTGCAAATGCTTGAATTGAGAAGTTAGCATGAGACCCATCACAGATCATAGGTGTATTTTGCTAAAGGAAAGATTTAGAATGACATCTTTTTTTTCTATTGACACTCTTTCCAACAGCTTACATAGTGACTGAAAAGGTTTTTACATCATACCTTTGTTAACATTAGATATCTAAGTAGTTTTGTTTAAAAAGCATAGAAAACCAATATTAAGGTTAGTAATTAACATAAATTGTTTGTTTAAACATATTCAGAAAAGTTTATATGCATACTAAAGTACCAAGGTATGATTCTGATGTTCTAAAGTACAGTATTTTGTGCACATATGGAAGTGGGATCAAGGAAGAGATTAGGCAATGTCTAGAAAATTGCCAGTGGGTTAAACACATTGAAATAATTTACCATAAAAAAAACTATTTATTAATTTCAGTTTAACTATTATAAGAAAGTCATTTTAAAGATACAAATCTCAATTATGAACAGACAAGAGATAATAGCTTATTTTAGAGTGTGTAATAGAGAAATACACAACTGTTTTATATATGGCTTGTACCATAATGCCTTCTGGCCTTGCCACTCATAAGAGTTATTACCCAAACCAGGAATATCATTCTTAACCCTTCACATCTCCTCAGTTTTCCACATAGAAGCAAACACTTCCACATTTTCTGATTTTTTTTGTATTCATTTGATATTTATCTCCATATTCCTAACTGTATAAGAAAGAATTAACTCAATAGATGTGGGTGTTCAAATCATTCACACTCTCCCAAAATGCCAGTTTTCAGGACTGACCTTTGGCCAGCTCTTGAAAATTAAGCACTGGGCACTGGAAGTAAGGAAAATAGGGACACTTCTACTTTTACCATTTGGTTCCTAGAATCTCATGGTCTATCTTATTAGTTAATGACCATTGAGTCAAGAAGGTACATTCTGTATCACAAAGGACATCATTCATATAATGAATATTACCTTCAAGACTCTGCTTAGCTTCACTTTTAAAAATTATTACAACACTTTCCCAGGTCACCTCTTTTTGGATGATGTGGTATTAGTATGCAATGGCTTGTGTCCATTGCTATACCTCTTTCACCATAAAATAGGCTCCTTACCTGAGGTTACATAATACAGAATTGTGTATCAGAGTATCTGTGAATCCTCAGGTAGTAAGTAGTGCTATCCTATGCACTGGGAGCAAGAAAAACAAACTTTCACCTGAGTCCAATGGCTGACCTTTTAGGAAAGGATCCAGAATAATCAATTTGCAACCAAGGAGTTGGTTGGTGTCTTCAAGGGAGTGTCATATCGAGGCAGCAGCATTGGTTTCTGATGACAGCATAATGGATATTTTGCATCAGCAATAGCTATATCAGCCTCTGTGAGAAGGAGTCCATGCTGTTGAGGTTGTCAGCAGCCACCATGGCTACCTCTAAAATAAGCCAATTGTGCATGTGCAGGGTTGGCCTGAAAAAGATGCTGGCTGACCCTTGCTGAGCCAATCATCCTATTCTCCCAGTTGTTTAAGGTCTACTCTCAGTGGGTGTCTCAGATAACAATTCACACACTTTCTACCCAACCCCATGTGTTCATCTACATGATTTTTCTTTTCTAAAATCAAGGAAATCAATTTAATGAAGACCAGTGTCTATTCCACTCTTGAATCTCACTCAAGTACTGTGACTCTGTCATTGCTCTTTTAGTTCAAAGTACTGGGATTCCTCCCTTGATCTTCCCTTTCTGCTCTTGTTAGATCCTGCATATCACTTTTTGCCTGTTCCTTTCATCTTTCCCACAACTATGTTAGTAGATTATTGACTATATGCTCCTCATTTGAACATCTGAGGTGAAATCTGATTCCAGACATACCCCTAACAAATATAGGCATATTTGAACAAATATTTAAGGGAAGTTATCTAGGAGAAGATTATTTTGGACAAAGGCAACAGCAAGATCAAATACTCTGAGATTATAGCTTTCCTGGATATTTAAGCAACAAGAAGGCTAGCATGGCCAATTAGAGCAACCAAGAAGTTGAGCAGTAAGAGGTAAAGCCAGAGAATAAATGGGGTCTGATAACTCACTACTCCTGGCACTCCATTCCTCTGGTTCCAAAATCCAGCACAGAATTCTGCTGACCACATTAGTCTAACTAGCTCAGACAAAAGTTGTCATAGAACAGGTAATGTTTTTGTTCTAGCATCTAAATCAGGGGTCTGAAAATGATGGCCCACTAGCAAAGTCTGGCCCAGCCTCCTGTTTTTGTAAATAAATTGCTACTGGAATACAGCCAAGAATGTTCATTTACCAAGTACCTGTTGTGATAAAAGCAGCATGGCTCACAAATTCTAAAATATTTATTATCTGGGCCTCTACAGAAATAGTTTCCTGACACCTTGTCTCGGTGATAGAAAATATGCCATCCTCTTTAATCAGCAAAGACGTAAAAGACAGTGTATGATTTTGTAAATTTTCCCCTGACCTCAATCTTATGGCTTAGGTCTGAGTTTCTGTTTTAGTAGAGGACTGAACACCTCAGTCCCTACTTTCTCTTCTCAAATGTTAATTGTCATTTGTGAAAGGACACACTTTCTGTCTGTG